AGCAGGATTTGCTTACCACATTTTCAAGTGAGTGAAGAAATGCACATTAACACCTAAAGAGGAGGTTGACCCATAAGACCATCAAGTTCAGAGTCTTAAATTACCTGGCTGTACCACTGGTGATGCTTTTGTGCTTTGATAGGGTTAGAAATCAATAAAAAAAGGTGAACTGGTGAGATTGGCAGGTGACACACCACTTATTTAGTCAGCATTGTACTTTGTACAGTCCACCTGAAGTGCTTTAGGACATTCAGGGGATAAAGCAGCACAACTGATTATGAAAATCATCTGATAGAAATTCAAAGTAATGGACACTGAAAGGAATGTTTTAAACCACTCAGACACAACTCTGTGTTCTAAATTAACAGTAACCTCTCTTGGAAAAAGGTGAAGCATTATCATGAAAAACCTAATGGTTTGGCTTTTTTTTTTCTTAAGGCGCAGCTGGAGAAGTAAAGAAAAAGCAGAAGAGTAAACCAAGAGTAATAAAAATTGTTATAAATGTAATAATGTGGTTATATACATCAATGATACGGCTCACCTAGAGTTCTGTGTTCAGTTCTGATAATTCACTTGCACTGAGCAACAAAATAGCTAGATATCCTGGGCTGACAGTAAGAGTATCAAGGACTGGGGTTGAATGCTGTATCAAAGCCTGCCATGGAACTGAAAACACATGCCTATTTCCACTATGAATACACTAAAGGGAAGCCACATACATTTCGGATCCACAGTACACTTTTAAACAGCACTGTCCCAAAGGTCATATTGAACGGGTTCTGCCAGAGGAGGAGGTATCCTACACAAAACTTCAGACAGTTTCAACCCACCTAATAGTATTGAAACAATCAGAGCTGGCCCAGCCATTAGGCCAGATGAAGTCACTGCCTCAGGAGGCAGAAGCCTCCGCCTCTGGTGTCAGCACCAATTTCCAGTGAGATCTTGCGGAGCATGCAAGATCTGGCGGGAAACAGGCACTGATGTTGGCGGTACAGGCAGTGGCAGAGGGGGAAGGGTGCTGCTTCCTGTTTCACCTCAAGCGGCAAGATAGGACATGCTACCCCTAGACACAATATTTCCATTATGCTTCTCCCTTGCTAACCAGAAACAGACGCACATTATAAAATGGATAAGAGTAAGTTATGGGGAACAGGTTCCTTCAGTTCTACTTATAAATACAGGTTTAGATAATTGTGCTTCTTTTTTTATATTCCAGGATCTATCAGACTCCCTGTCACAATAACTCGGAGTTCCTCAATGTGACCCTTTCCAACTGCCACTCATCATGATTTTAAAGCCAACCGGTACCTTGGAGACAGATTGAACTATTAACTGAGATTGTTTATTGAAGATATATTCCGTACATAAGCGAATACTGATAATTACACTGAGATCCTAAATGTGCTTGATGACAGTTTGTAAGAACTCAAGAAATGCATCTGTTGACACCAGGGTTCAAAAGTCTTTTACCTCAGACCAAATTCCCAAAACCAACCCAGCCAAATTTGTTCAAAACTTGGTCCAGCTACTACATACAATCAGCCTCTGTCATCAAGGGAAGAATTCAATATCATGCTCTTCTGATTTTTCCATCAACACAAGGATTTCTGCTTGCCAGATAGAATGATTTCCCCTCCCCTCATGTTCTGTTCTGGGGGTTCTCCCAATCTCCTAGAGTGGAATGGGGGAGGGGAGCCCCATCACGCCCATGGGAACTCTTGCATTGGCTTGTGCTAGCACGCTAGGTTAAGTGAATCCTGCCCCAAAGCTCACCCAGTTGTACTTCTGATGACTAGGGCAGTTTAGCTGATTTTTAAAAAGCCTGCTTGTATAAGCTTATTTTGGTAAGATCTTTACACAGTTCAACAAAAAGCTCCCTTCTTCTGATCTTCACCAGCACAGTTGTAGCAACAGGAAATAATATTCAAGCCTTGGTTATCCATTTTCATCTCAGATTTCTCTGGCACTGCCTCACATCTCCCTCAAAATTGGCTTCATCAAATGACAGTTACCGGTAACTACTGCTTCTTCACTTTAGAACCCCCAGCCAATCAGAACCTGATGTATCCCAGACTAATCAAAATTAATTTACCTGACCCAGGCCCTGTCTGTAAATACTAAAAGTGATTGTCTCTCTTCATTCCTCACTCCACTCTCAGAACCTGTCACTGAGTAGCTCCAGCTGAATTGGCCTCAAACAAAGCAACAATATCAGGCCTCTTTTCCAAAGCAGGAAACATAAATAGACAGACATACATGCAGCATTTCTTCACAGAGGTACACATTGCAATGGACAAATATTTGAAACTGCTCCAATTTCAAATATCAAATATGAATATTTGAAATGGGTGAATTCTAGTTTATGCTCTAGTCATATATGGATAAATTACAAATTGTCATCATTAAAAAAAATATGGAGTTCTTCCATTAGTTTCTTGTCCCAAGTCACTGTGCTAATCCAGTCAAATATGCAAACGAGTCCACTACAGTTTTAAGAATGAAATAAACTTCAGCACATGCTTCCTCCACTTCAAATTTGCTATAAACATCCTACATCAGAACTACACCTTTCTGCTTACTAATAGTGGTATGGGAAATAATGCCATAATTTGGGTGATTCCATGAATCCGAGCTTTCCAATATGATGTGAAGCAGAATTACATGGGAACCCATTTTTTCAAAGTCTACCATGCTGTTGTGGTAACAAATGAATGGGCCCTCTAATATGAAAGGGTAGGGCCATGGATGCATGCCCAGTTTGCCCATACGTAGGTTGAGTGTCTAAATATCATAGGAAAACTTTGCAGAGAAAGGAAACTAGGGTTGCCATATTCAAAATCCAGACACAAAAGTTGGCAAAAAAGGGATATTTTGGAGCTATTTTTAAGGAAAATGGGGGGGGGGGGATGACGACACTGCTGACATGGATTGCCATACATTATGACAATTTCCGCCCGGACACTGTTTCCGACTGCTGTATTCCGGGTATGTCTGGGAAATTCTGGACATATGGGAACCCTAAAGGAAAGGAATGCAGAGAAAGAAGGGCACGAGAATCAGCCATACATATAGCAATCCCTTTTGAAGAGCAGAAACTGAAGGACTATTTTTGTTTCATTCATTTAACTTTTTTTAACGAGGTTTTGAGTAGAGGTCTGAAAAATAATGTATAGCACAGCCAGAGCAAATCAAGTGTTCCCACATTTTGTTGATATGAAAAAGAAGATGCTCAATTAACTGCAAAAGCAACAAGCACACAGCTGATGGGAGAAAGTACCTCTCTCTACACAATGTCATTAACCTGTGGAGTAACTCTTGGCAATAAGAGAATACTGAAGGTTTGGATCAGATTCAAACTAGCTTACACATTTTTACAAAAATAATACTCAGAGGCTCACAAAAGAACATTTAAGAAAGAGAAGGAAGAGGGGGAAGGGATGGAGAGAGAATTACTGTATTTTTCGCTCTATAAGACGCACCAGACCACAAGACGCACCTAGTTTTTGGAGGAGGAAAACAAGAAAAAAAATATTCTGAATCTCAGAAGCCAGAACAGCAAGAGGGATCACTGTGCAGTGAAAGCAGCAATCCCTCTTGCTGTTCTGGCTTCTGGGATAGCTGCGCAGCCTGCATTCACTCCATAAGACGCAAACACATTTCCCCTTATTTTTTTAGGAGGGAAAAAGTGAGTCTTATAGAGCAAAAAATACGGTAAATGGAAATTCTTCTCTCATCATGCATTTATTTTTCTACTCTCATTCATGCCCTCTCCCAGTTTGCCATATATTGGTCCAAAGGATTTAGGCCCGCTGAAATAGACTGGCATCCTGCATAGGTTTGGCTCACAAATGCACTACTAACACACACACAACACTAAGTTATAGTAAGTTTGGTCCTAGTGTGGTTTGTTTGAACATCTAATCATGGTCTGTTTTCTGACAACAAACAGCAATATGAAGCTATGGTTGGTTTGTTGGCTTGTATAAAACTATGGTTTGGCATTATATCTGAACCAAACAGTATGGCTTGGTTTGTCCATCCCATCCTACATGTTCACCAGAGCTCAAGCTTTGGAGAAACAAGTTGTGACATGTTTGCTCATCAGCGACTGGGTCTTTTTCTGAGTACGGGTGTATCACGAAGAGCCTTGCCAACGCATCTCCATCAGACTAGCTCTACTATTGCCTCGTTATAAGTTAACTTGGATCACAAATGTAATTTGAGATCTTTTCAGACATACTCCCCCTTAAACATGAAATTCTAAAGCAATACCTGGCTGATAATTCCCATCCAATTCAATTGAATGACGCGAAATAGAACAATTTCCAGTTCCTTAGGGATATATTTTCTGCAGGAGTGATATCTTTCCTGATTTAAAAACAAACAGAAAATATACATGCTGGAGAGATTACAGAACTAAATGTTTGTGTGTGTGTGTGTGTGTCAGCAGGCACCTTCTGAATCAACTTTTAAACGCCTGCTGAAAACTTTTCTATCCTGCCAGGCCTATGCAGGCAATTAAGAGTACATCCCCCGCAATGGTCTACTGAACAATTTCTTTTTGCTTTTAACTTGTTTTTTTTAACTTTTTATTGTTTGGTTTTATGTTTGCATATTGTTAAAAAGCTTCCCAAGACCAAGAGACAGCAAGTTGTATTGGAGACAGCAAGTTGTGGCATCTTCAGTTATTTAACAAGTACTATCCAAATGCACACATAGAAGCAATTGATGTGATATTTCCCCACCACACAATAATGGTGGGAAACTGCATTACAACTACTGCATTGCATCTGGATCTCTCAAACCACCAAGCATTTACTGAACAATAAACAAATTGTTTAGAAAGGTCCTTGGTACCCTGTTTAAAGGCTTTTTGGAATGAGTAATGTTTGCTTACTCAAGAGCCTGGGTTTCCTAAAGACTTCTATTATCTACCAGGTTGCTCAGCCTTAAAAATATGTGACATATAGCACATGAAAGAAAAGCAAAACAAAAGTGAGGTTTTACATTTGTAAAACTGTTCTTCAGTTGAAAACAATCACAATATTAACATAAAAGCTTTTATTTTTAGGGATGGTTAAATTGCTAGGTTAAAGAGGTTAGCCAGCATAAAAGATATTGAAAAAAACCGTGGAAATCTGCTTGAAATTAAAGTAAATGATTACAGCAATGTAGAGCATTCATCTGAGGGTTGCTTCACAAATTATGTTTTGCTTGTGTGCTGCAGGAAAGAGGTACACTGTGATGTTGGATTGAAATTAAGTGGCTTCTAGCTGTACAGGCTCTAAAGTTATGTATAGATCAAGATTAAGGATTCGGATTTAAAAAGTTAAAAGAAATAGAAAATTGGCTTTTAATAGGTAAAAATTTAATGATATATTACATTAAAATTAAGGATTGGGATTAAAAAAGAGGGAAAGAAATTGCGGGACAAACAAATTGAACTGGAATACAAAAGAGGGAGGTATGAGGAGGTCCAGAAAATAAGTAAATTTAAAAGTGGTGATGGAAAGATGGTATTGTTTTTAACCGTTTTCTTTTTTTCCTTTTTTTTTGCTTTTTGTTTTTTGTATTTTGTATTATGTATTTTTGTATTGTGTATTTTTCTTTTTTACTTGTAATTCTTTTTTACTGATGTGTCTTTTTTTCTATTGGAAACTTCAATAAATATCATTTAAAAAAAAAAAGGAAAGAGGTACACTGTCACTTATTGTGTGCATTGTTGGTGTTCATTGTGCTGGCAAATCCACAGTTTAGGAATCCTAGTTTAGATGGGATAAGGGTGAAAGAATCTGGTTAAGAGGCCTAGGTAGAAAATGTTGGGTGATCTGACATGTATCTCTTTGGTGACACTCTCAATACATTTCTTAGGGTTTTGGAATATCCACTCCCTACTTTAAATCTCTGAGGGAGAAGTGTGTGTGTGTAAAATCATAGCATAACCTTTCAATAACCATCTACATTCAGTATTATTCACTTGTGACACTAGATAAATAACACTCAATATCTGTTAATAATTAATCTGTGCAATAATTGTACATTAATAATTAAACTTGATGTATTTCCCCTCTGCCCAATTCTGTATATGCCTACAGCTGCTTTAGAAGCAGATATGGTAATTCTGTAATTCCCACACCATACGTTTAAAGCACATGGCTTCCTCCAAGAATCCTGGGAACTGTAGTTCAGTCATTGTAAAGCTACAATTCCCAGCACCTTTAACAAACTACAGTTTCCAGACTTCTTTGGCAGATCTAGTTGAACCACCCTCCTTCTTACATTCAGATCCAGCCCTGGGGTGACACTCAAGAGACATGGAGACTAGTCATAACTGGAGCAGGAGATGCATGACTGATGCTGAAAGCAGCAGCATTATGCGTAGTGAAATAAAATGTATTGATAATTAAAATGCCACCATTGCACAGAATTTCCCCATACTCATAAGCAGCATCCATTAAGGAGTGCAGTGACATTGCCTCTTACGTTTTGTTTTACTACGTGTTACTGGGGAGAAAGGTGAAGAGGAAACATGAGTTGTTGTCTTAGTGGCACCCATGTGGCTCTTTTAAAAACACACTGCTGCTTAATCTAGAGCAGAGATACCACTAGGTCTAGTACACCTGTGGGAGGGGTCACCGTCTCCCATTCAAACCCCTCTCCCTACTCATATATGTATACAGGCCCTAAGATCAGTGTCTAGGCTTTTGACTTTGGTGGCCTCTTAGGGCCAGGTTCTCCTGCAACAATGCAGTTGTGAAAAGCTCTTCTCATGGAAAGTTTGCTCAGTGGCCTGGACTCAAAGAGGGGGCTGATGGAAAAAAAGTTTGGGTGGTTGTTTTTTTTAGCATTTTAAATAAATATGCTGTGCTGCTGCTTGATTTGGCCCTTGGCAATTTAATGTTTATGTTATTGATTTGATATGCTTTTATCATTTCGGTGTATGCTACTCTGAATGTTTTATTATAGAAAGGCAGCTGAACAGAAAGGTTATCAATAAAGAATAAATATTTATGTCCCAAAAAGCTACATACTTGCTCAACACAGACTGATCCCAGCTTCAGAATTCAATCTTCTAAAGAAATAATAAAGCTCAGAAGCAGCAGTTGTGGAGGCTGGTCCATGAGTGCAAATGGAGCACTGTCTTGATTCCTGCAACCAGCCCAGAGGGTGTCCCCAGACTGTTTCCTCCTCCTTAGCCTCAGTAGAATTAGTTGGCTTCCCCTGTCATTGGTTCTAGCCTTCCTACCTTCCATTTTCCCATTCCCAATGGACAGCAGCTGCCCCTGGATGAGTGCTTTTAATAATTCAAGGAAAATCAAATAATCTTAAACAAGAGGTGGGGAAAATACTTAAGGAAAAGAGGTCATAACAGATATACAATCCTCTATTCGCTTACCTAGGAGTAAGCGCTACTGAAGTCAATTAGACTTCTGAGTAGACATGTATAGGATTGCACTGTTTGTACTCTAGATTTTTAAATAACAAAAGTTCTTTAGGACGTTTAAAAATACATTTGTAGGCAGGCCTCGTTCTTCAGAACCCAAAACACATACTCCTCACAGCTTCATGGAAGATGGATTCCAAACAATTAATTCCACCACTGTCATCTCTCAAGGAGAAATCACAACCAATTTATGGAAGGAAAATCTTCATTTTCAGGTATTGATTGGTTCAAAACCACTTGAAGGAGATGTCACTATCTAAGGTATTTTCAGTTACCACTCCAGACTGTACAAAAAGGTTAAATACAAGCCATTATAGGGAAGGAAGGACACTTGCTCAGTAGCAATTTATCAATTGCTAAAAAGTAGCTTCAGGGTATCTGACTGATGATAACTGATATCTATTTGTTAAACATGTATTTGTAGAAGGCAAGGTTTGGCAGGCTGAATCTGTGACCTTGGCAGTTTTTCTACTAAAAAATGGTGGCTACACTACTGTCAAAAGGGATAACAGAATGACGTAGGGTGGCCACCTACGCATCACCAACAAAGAGGATAAATGAGGACAATAATTTGCATGAAATCTGAAAATGCTCATTTATGTGTATAGATGCAAATTTATAAATGGTTGCTACCATTTAATTAGAAAAACATTAGAGCTCACCATGGTGAGGAAGACACCAGGTGACATGTGAGCCTGCTTGTTCTGCTGGCCAGGTGCATCTAACTGTTAATGAGCAATTCCAAGGCTTCTGTTTCTTCCTCTTATGGTTTTATATCTTTAAACCAGTCTTGGACTGAATAGCGCTCAGACAGAAGACACCTTCAAATAAAGGGCTGTCTACTGACAGGCATTCAAAAGAGAGGATTATCTGTAAAGCATAGCCCCTAGAACAGGCATAGGCAAACTCTGGTCCTCCAGATGTTTGGGACTACAATTCCCATCATCCCTAGCTAACAGGACCAGTGGTCAGGGATGATGGGAATTGTAGTCCCAAACATCTGGAGGGCCGGAGTTTGCCTATGCCTGCCCTAGAATGAAGGTACCAAGGCACACGTGTTTCTTCAAAGCTTCCACAAGTTACCAGGCTTCATGAGGAATGTTAGGCCTGGAGCAAAAAAAATCATTCTTCCCCCCGCCCCCATTATACATGGATACCTCTGAAAGGCTTGTAGGATTTGTGTTGCTGGCCTCACAATTGCCTGGTCCATTGTTCCCACCTGTATCGGCAGGAAGTGCAAAATGCCTTTTCCTCCACGCTGCAAATTACAGGCTTCATCTCAGAGAAGGAGTAGAATTAATAGCGATGCAGGAGACGGCTATATAATTTAACTGCCAGGGAGACAGCAGGAAGGGGAAGCCCTTGCTTATTACACTCTGCAGGGGCGGGGGGGGGGGGCAAAGGGGAGTCACTTGCATCTCCTGGGTCCAAGCATGAGGCAGCGCGAGATGAGACACAGAGACTAAGGCACAAACAGATGCACAGAGCGCTGCTCCTCTGTGGGATTAAAACTAAGCATTCTGGTTAAGCAAGTATATTTCCTCAGCATCTTTGAGTTAGCAAAGACTTTAAAAAGACAATGATAAAGAGAAGGTGAGGGAAAGTGCCTGAAACCCAGCCATGCCCACCAAGGAGACGGATGCAAAGGAGGGCAGGACTCCATTGTTTTTAAAAACTATGTCGATGAGGGGAATATTTTTTTTTGGCAAGTTCAACTTGTCATGCCAGGCTGCGAAAAGCTGCTCTTGCTTATATTTCCTTTTCTACACAATTACAAATATTTAATAGGTAAAGGCACTGGACCAGACTTTGCATCTTGTCATTCTAACATCCCCTTTCTCTTAGAGTCAGACCATCTAATAATTCAGCTCATGATGACACAGGCTGTTATAAGTGGCCACTCAGTTATTGGCTGGAAGGTACAGATCCTCAGAGTGCTATAAGCTATGCACAGTAACACCACCACACCAGAAAGAAGGGAGGCACAAAGTAATGTGGGTGTGGCTTCCTATGCAATTTGTTTAAAAAGGTAATGCTATAGATAGATAGATGATAGATAGATAGATATTTCAAGACATTGTCAGGAGGATGCCATCAACATGTTTATGTTTGCTGCTACGGAAGGAGCTGCGTATGCTAAGAACTGCTTTACATTTTATGTGGCACTCATTATACTAGCCCTCCAAGTCCACAAGAGTTACTAGCCCTCAAATATTTCTTACTCTCTGGGTGACTCATTTCAAAAGATAATATTCCTGATCACTGGGTGGGTGGGTGAGTGTGGAATCGTATTCAGCCCATGTGACCAAGCAAGTAGCTAATTACAAGACTGCAGCAAGTAGTAATATTTTCTCAAGCTACTTCCCTGTTACTTCCAGTTTAGTGCTGTGCAATGCTAAATCAATGATGGGGCCTGGGGTTGCATAGTATTTGTTAGATCAGAAGGCTTTCTGAAGCAAAATAAGAGGATGGCTATCAAAAACATCCCTTCCAGCTCTACAGTTCTATTGTCCTGTCATTCTCTGCATTTTAATGTTTGTGATTTCCTGTCACAACACAAAAAAGAATTTCGAGGTCCTGATTACCTCTGGCTTCAGAACCTACCAGGCCTATACTCAGGAGTAAGCCCTACTGCATTTAATGGGGCTTAAACTGCAATCCCGTGCACACTTGCCTTGAAGTAAGTCCCATTCCATGGGGCCTACCTCAGCCTGCAAGAGCCCATTTGCATGGCCATTTCACAAAACACCTATCACTTAATGTGTTATGCATGTCCACGTTCCCCCTGCAGGGATGTGACAATTCTCTCTTCACATCTGCGATGTGCTGTAATGTTTCCAGCGTATGGTGTTATGTTAGTTGCTATTTTTATTCCGTCCTATTATAATAAAAGCTTACAGTTAAAATTAGTAGATGACAGCAGGGGGCACATGTGCTGAGCTCTTTGCAAATGATTAGAAATTGCATTACAAAACAACCATCCCTTTGGATCTTTATACAGCTAGTGGAAAGTCCCACAGCTAATTTCTAAAGAGGGCTATGTGCACTTTAACAAAACCTTACGTTTCTGTCATACATTGGAGATCTCCAAGCACTTTACCAACCAATGCGATTGGCACTGGGATTCTGGAAGACTTGTGGCCATAGCACTTTGCTCTGAAATTATCTGAACCCAGCTCACATCTTTGCTTCCCTGTGAGCTGCAGACTAAGTATGCTACCTAAGGCAGGTTTTTTTTAAAGCAGGCTGGGGTGGGGGGTAGGGGGTGGGATGGAGAGCTTATTTTAAAAAAATATTCTCGATGTAAGACAGCAGTGAGCATTTTATCAATATATGCAAAGAAGCAATTGACAGAAAGTTCATCCAGGAGAAGAGGTAGAAATAAAATGCTCGGGCACAATTTATGGTGCTGTAATCAATGTTATATCCACCTGAACCTCCATTTGTAACCCTTCACCTCTTTAACTGAATTGGCTTGATCAACATCGGCAGCTCAGAGAAGTGATGGAATCTATTCTGGGTCAGGGAACCAGCTTCTGACAAAGGGAGAAAGCAGTAATGGCTTGTTTGCCTGTTTCCCAGGATACTTTTTTAGACCGTGTGACCTGATTTTGTTCAAAGAGGCCAAATACCTGCTGCTCTGAATACCTTCAGCTTGAGCATTCATGAAAGCCCAGCCGTAACTAGCCTGCCTCCTGCAAAGTGAGAAGTTATAAATAATAGTCTGGTCTGAATGATCTGAAACCAGAAGGGAAAAAAATCAGGAGGGGAATGTCTCTCCTTTCCCCTTCAAGTCAAGTGTCTTAAAATAGCCAATAGGAATTTTATCAGGTTTTGCACACAGACTTAAAAAAACCCAGCTGCTGCCTTCAGGTAAAACTGGAAATATGTCTGCCCAAAGGGTCATTCTTCTTGGCAACCGTGAAGGAAACTGCCTCCTCAGCCATAAGCTGGGTGTCACTCATAAATCACTGGGGCCAAATGGTATTTATCAGTCTTTGGAAGGTTTTCCGGAGCAAAGTAACAGGGCCAGCGACAAGAAGGTGTAATTTATCATTAAAAACAACTGCTTTACTAGGGCACTGGAGGGTGGCCAATGCTGTGTTCCTCTTTTTAGAAAGATGCTATGGGCGATGCCAGCAATTATAGGCTGGAGATTTTAACATCAGTGCTAGGAAGAGAGCAGAGAAAACCATTACTACCAGAGCTGGAGCTAAATCTCACAACAGATTATTTAGACCAGCAATTAGGAAGAGGATGCAGAGGCTTGAATGCCTGTCTTTAGAGGCTAGGTTGTATTATTGTGGGCCCAGGGCTTAAGTTGCCTGAGATACTCATGTGATTAAAATTAAGTAGAGGGGGGAAGGTGGGCAAAAATCTGTTACAGTGGTGCCCTGCAAGACGAATGCCTCGCAAGACGGAAAACCCGCAAGACGAAGAGACTCGCGGAACGGATTCTTTTCGTCTTGCGAGGCACCACTGTATTTCTATATGTTTAAGGGGAACATACAACTTTCTTTCAGTATAATTTAGCTTTAAAAAAACACAACTTGAGATTCCCCTGCATTATAAAGCAATACATGTTTATATCAAAGCTATGATTAAATTATCTGAATACATGGATGTGATATTTGCAAATGTTTCTCCTTCATCTCTCTTCTGAGTCTTGCCAGTGGTAAGTTTTGGCATTTGTGCAATATGTCAAACTTTATTTTATCACATTCTAAAGCTGCATTTTTCATATTTCTTAAACAGACAGTGCAGTAACCAAAGGGGGGAATGGGGAAGAGAAGGAGGAAAGAAGAGAGGAAAAGATATTGGCAGCCGATCCTCAATGCCAAATGCCAAACTCAGGTACAGCATTCTTTTATAGATAACTCTTAAACATTATGCCAGATCTCCGTAGTGCCTATTATAGTTGCCCTCAGCAGAATATTCATTTCACAGAATCTCATTTAATAGACCTAATAAATTAACCAAATGATCAAGTGGTATGTCATACATTATCATTCACTTAATTTCTTTTATTACTCAGATCCAGTATACCTGAATTTTGGGTATATTCTTTTTCTTTTTTTTATGCTGTTGAACAAAACCAATGGACCAATTTCATGCCTGTTGGCATACCAAAGCAATATTTGCCAGTTCCAGTGCTGTCAATTATGATGGCCAATTCTTGTCTTCACAACAGATGCAGAACTTGAGTCCCATGTACACATGATCCTTAGCATGATTTTTTTCTTTTTCACAGCTGCTGCTCACTGGGATGACATCGTCACTGTATCGTCACTGTACCATCCACTATGACCCCAAAGTCTCATTTCTGGTCACTCACTGCCAGTCCAGACCCCATGAACATATATATGAAATTAAGGTTTTGTTTTATTTTGTTTGCCCCAATGTGCATCATTTTCTGCTTGCTTACATTGAATTGCACTTGTCATTTTACTGCCCATTCACTCAGTTTGGTGAGCTCTTCACACTCCCTTTTTTTCTTAACCACCCCAAGCAATTTAATATGATCTGCAAACTTGGATACCTCTTGCTCACCACTCATTCTAAATCATTTACAAGCAAGTTAAAAAGCACAGCCCCAAATAATGATACTTGGGGTGCTCCACTTTCTCTACCCCTTTTTTGGAAGAACTGTCCATTTATTCCTGCTCTCTTTTTCTTAACCAGTTACTGAACCAAAAGAGGACTTCTCAACCCAGAAAGGAAGCAATGGCTAGTTAGCCAAAAAACCTGAGACAAATATAAGACAGGGCAGGCAGCAGGAACATCCAAACATCCAATATTGAGCAGATCATGTGCCTGTCCAGGCAGGAAAGGAGGTCACTTGGGGAAATATTTGTAGGAAACATAAATCCAGCTGGAGTTTGAGTCTATAAATACAACTGATCAGAAAACAAGAGACGGTCTACAATTCCAGACAGCCTACTGCTGCCAAAAAGCAGTGGAAGAGAAAGGATTGGAATGTTTCCCAGAAGAACCAATGGCACTGGTTGAAGAGCCACATGGGCTTCCAAGGTCTGGCACTCGTTTTTCATAGGAGTAGACTGGCTCCAAGATATGGTGGTAGCCTGTGCCAAGGTTCTGGGGCCCTGGCAGCTACCCAAGGATGGTACCTGATAACTCAGTGTGCATCCTAAAACATGCCCCAGAATCCTCAGGAATGCACTGGGGCTCTGTGCCAAGCAGGCAGTGGTTCCAGATTTGCCTGGTGCAAGAGTGAGATAGCACACACAGTAGCCTTTTTAGTTGTCACTTATGGCAGATTATTGACAATTATGTAAGCAATTACATAGATGTATGTATGGTATGCATGGAATTATTTTACGGGGGCAGGCTTTATGCTGGGCAGAACTGAGACATCTGCAATGCAATTTATTTACTTGCTTTAGGGGGGGAACCATCCCCTGCACCCCCTGGTTATGCCCGTAATGGTATGCCCTTCCTATAATAATCAGAATGTGCATCAGTAAAGTATATACGTGTGTTGTGCGCACACAAACATGCCTTGCACAAGTTGAGAAACAATGTCAGGGATGTTTATTAATAGTCTGCAAAAGGTGTGGGCAATGAGGTGGCAAATGCTGCTGATGACCCAATGATTTAGGTTAGCAGAAGCAAGAAAAGAACTGTGGCAGAACAGAATGGAACTGGAATAGAACAGAAATTGGACAAGGAAACAGCAAGTGACACACTGGGCAGGCGACAACAAAGAAATGCACATTGCTAAGTACAATTTAAGCTATTCGCATGCGGATAGCCTTTGGAGTTAGTTATAGCCTTCCAAGAAACAGATCCAGGCTTCAGAGCAGGCAGCCAAGGACTCTTGCTTAATGCACCAAGGAGGCGGTAGGAAAAAAGGCAAATGATAACGTGTCAGGCACAGCACTGACATGGGCCTGCCGCATAACTGGTGAATATAAAAATATTAGAAAGCAGTTATAAAACACAGCAGCAGGCAAAGCTCCTCTTTTGGTTAAGCACTTTCAGCCCTGGCTTTCTTGTCTCTTCGGTTGTGATATGAAAGAAGAACCGATCCAAAAAAGGCGGGTGAGGAGGGGGATGAAAAGTGGAGCTGAAGGATTCTGGATTAAGGGGAGGGGAGCCTAAGGATTTCTCCTCAGAATGGCCAAGGACATGACTTTACTGGTTTTATTTTTTTTCAGTTTTTAAAAACTCATTTGTAAGTTTCTCTGTAAGTCCATGGAGACTGTTAGCAGGGATGGCTAACAGCTGGCCTGATCCAGCCCACCCAAGGATTTTTTTCTGGCCCTTCAAAGCCTGACTGATTTTGGTGGCAGTAACAAAAGGAATAAAAATTAGACACAGTGCTGGGATGAGCAGGGATGTTGGAATCCCTTGTTGAGAATGCAAACCACATTCTCCCCAGTCACTTGACCAAGGAGGAATAACAACATACCCTCCAACATTTCTCTGATGAAAATAGGGACGTCCCATTCCATAATGATTATTTCACTATTTATACCCCACACATCTTATTGGGTTGCCCCAGACACTCTGGGCAGCTTCCAACCTAAATAAAAACATAATAGAATATTAAACATTTTTTTAAAACTTCCCTATACAGAATTGTCTTCAGACGGCTCGGCAGTCGGATAACTCCATACCCTCCAACATTTCTCCAATGAAAATAGGGACATCCTAAGGAAAAGTAAGACATTCTGGGATCAAATCAGAAACCGTGAAGCTTCTCTGAATCAGAGACGTCCCTGGAAAATAGGGACACATGGAGGGAATGTAATAAACCCCTCCTTCTCAGCTGATCTGAATGGATCAACTGAGGAAGGCAAGCTGTGTGCCTATACATATGTAGGTAGGTATATATACATAAGTAAATGTGTGTGGGTGTTCTCTCTGTGTTGTGTGTGCATGAGGAGGCCAAACCTACTTCTGGCCACACTCACCGCTATCCTCCAGCTCCCAGAGGGTTGGCCAAGAGTAAATACAGCCCCCAGACCAAAATAGTGTAGCTAGCCCTGTTCTAAACAAATAAACTTTACTGCATTTATTTCAATGTGTACTTTGCTTTTTCAAATCAGTGGGGCTTACTTTTGATTAGTCATGCACAGATCTGAGCTGTTAGTAACCTTTTAAATAAATCACACCAACTCTGCATTCTTTATGTTAGCTGCCTCTACTGCAGTGCATTGCTTTCAAGACTGAGCTTTTGCTTTTCTAAGGCTCTCCCTGTGTTTACGACCTGCTCTTGCAGTCTCAACCTCTTGGGTACCTGCCTCCCGACTCTTCCATCCTTTCAGGATCCAGCCATTGCTTTGTAAGGCCGGGATCTTTGATGTGTTAAGCTGCCCAGTACAAAACTTTGGGGATTAATCTTTATATTCATTCTTCACTCCTCATGAGAAAGTCTTCAATTTCTTTCTTATTCTCTAGGTGCTTTGGGAGGATAGAATGACAGTTGAAAGTATCTCAGAAGTCATCTAGTCCAGTCCCTGAAGGATGCAACTATAGCCAGGATGGGGAACCTCAGGCCAAGGGTCTCAATGCAGCCCTCTGGGCCTCTCCCCAGGCTGCACCCCTCACTGGCTCTGCTTTGCAACCAGAGTGTTTTTGCCTGGCTGGAATATGTCACTGAACTCTGATAATGCTTCTTGCTTGTCTGGACGGAGAAGGATGTATGAGTGAGTACAGAAACTGTACATTTGTTGCTCCACCCTCTATTGTCTCTGGACCCACCCACCACTGGTATGCGGCACTTGGAAGGTTGTCCAGAAGGAAATGTCAGTCATAGCGAGGTTCTAGATATTGCCTTAAGTTTCTGGATCCTTTTGCAGCCCTCCTAGCTCTAATTGAAACTAATAATCAGTTAGTTTGCCCAGGCTCTGAGTCTAGCAAGTCACTCTGCCTGGCCACACTCTTCAGTGTCAATTGCCGCCCCCAAGCACTACCACAATATAAATATTAAATAATGAGAGTTAATATTTAATTCACTCATAGGCCTTCTTATGGAGACAAAACAGTTTAATAGAATTCACAAAAGGGTCAGACATTTATGAGATTCTGCACAGCATTAGCAATGACAGCTGCTACCTCTGAATAAAAATTATTAGCTAAAGACCAGGAATTTCCCCCTAAGGATAGTAACAGTAGATGGGCAATCAATGTGCCATAAAGTTCCTCATACATTTTCCTTGAGCTTATTGGGGTGGATTCACACAAAAGGCTCTGCAAGGAAAGCTACAAATATATGAACCTTGTATATTTGACATTAACGAAACTGTGAACATTGCTTTTAAAAATGGTTTTAGACATACCCTTTTTAGAATGCAAGTAATGGTTGTAAGTCTTTGAAATGTTAAATCTGTTTTCCTTTTTTGCTTACAGATCTTATTTGGTGCCTAGTGAAACCAGTGTATGCATCAGCTTCCTTTTGTTAATGCCTAACCTAAGGCTCTTACCTGGGAATCTTGAATTCTTTAATGAACTAGTGAACTGCCTGACATACCATGAGGATGACAGGCCCTGAGCAGCTCATGGGAAGCCTGGTTCCCCACCACCATTCATCTAGTGCAATTCCACTAGCTGGGATGAGTATTATGAACCCTTCCTACTGCAAGACTACTAAGCAAGGCATGACAACCATCTCCATGGAATTGCTAACACAATACCTGGGTGAGGGCTTAGTAACACAAGATTACTGACGGATGGAAGAGTTTCATACCTGGATAATCCTACCCTATTGCAATTGCTTCTCCTCAACCACATCCTCTTCCCCAGAACATCAGGAATGTCAACAACAGAGGGCCTGGATGGTGGGGGCAGGCACTGCTTCTGGTCGTCTGAATACTTTCCAGCATGGATGAGCCTTACGCACTAGTAAAAGCAATCCTAACAGAATAGTTTAGAAGTGGGCGGATCAGAAAAAATTCCCTGAAACAAGCAAGTCTGACACAGAACAGGCTGCATTGGCCTTACATATGTTGGTGCAAAAGGGAAAACTCAATAAGGGTCTGGTACATTTTCCTGCAAGTTCCCCACCTTCAGAGAGCAATGAAACAACAGTGCACTGAGATCAAGCTGCACCTCTTGAACTCTGCTCCTTGTTATGTCACCAAGACACCACATCAACCTTGCAGAACATAACACAATCTGCAATGTTGTTCCAGACAGCATCCCAGTGGGTTGTAATTAGTTGGTAGGCAGAAGCCCAATGTGAGCTTGCAGGTTTCCAATGAAATTTGTGAACTTTAAATTTGCCTGAAAGAAGCTGAGCTCATTTCACTCCTGTGACTGCTATGATTACCACCTCTCCTCTTTGGGAGCTTTGTAATAGATCATCCAAAGCTTGCTTTTTAAACCAGTGTCTCATGACAACGCAGACAATCAAGTTGGCCCTATTCCAATGGGACTACTTTCTGCTACGGTACAAAAACAAAAAACAAAAAGCTGGTGCTTATTGCAGATAATGTGACAATTCATACTAGGAAATACATTCCCTAATTAATTTATGTCAGGAGGAGCAGACTTATCTACCTCTGTTTTACTTGCCATTGCTGTATTCCCACTCCCCTTCCTACCATATCAGTGCTGTAGATTCAGTGTCACTCCAGTTCTCCTTTGGACCACATGCAAATATTCACTGATGGACTCACTTCCTTATTCATATTTGCTCTATCCTCTCTTGACTCCCCCATGCATCGAAGATGCACCACACACAGGGTGATAGTAAGCAGCACTGATGGTAGATGATGGGGTTGGGTTCCAGCATTGACACAATGCACTGGTTGTCCATTTAAGCTGGTGCTTGGAGTCTTACACCAAACCCCATGAGCAGCTACCTGAGTACAGTCTGTCATGGGATTAGGCTTTGAATCTTACTGTAGATCCTCTACATCCACACCTGCTTCAGCATACATTTAACCTATTTCTCTTCCACCTTTGGTCACCAAAGCCTAAACCAAGTCCCCCTTTGTTCCCAAATCTTTAGCTCATAATATCTACAAGTTTGCACATTTTTCCTTACAAAGGAGTGTTTACTTAGAATCTCTTCACAGGCACAACTGAGGCATCTGTCTTCAGTAACCTGCAACATGCATTCTTAGATCGAAGTATCAGAAGTGTCTTGCTGGTGTGTATCAACCTGGGTCAGCATTCTTTTCTAGAATCTCAGCAATGAACAGGCACTGGGTGGACCATTGGCCAGTTTCTGGTGGATCACAGCCTACTGTTTACCCACCCACTCTTAAAAACAACAACTCCTCTTCGTTACATCAACACCAACTCAATACCATCTTTATTTTGAATTTTTCTGTCTACATTTGGAACACATATGCCTGAAGAAAATTTCTGTGTAACTCAAAAGTTTGCACGCAGTATCTTGATCTTTGGTTTGCCCAATAAAAGCAACTTCCTCATTTGCTTGGCATTTATTGCAGTGCTTTCTCTACTTACTGCAGAGAGCAAGATGACTGACTACTTTGTGCAAGATTCTCCCCGTAGTCTCAAGAACACACCATTGAGATCGAAAAATGTTCAGGGATATAGTACTGCTAGTGTTTAGATAAGGCAAACTTCACTTGCACTCATTGATTCACTACTGGGTGAAAGAATTTAGTCTGCTCTGCTTCCCAGCTAAATGGTAACAGGGTAGGTTAGGGTCATCACGGCTAAGGCAGGGATGGGAAGGGATTGCAAATCCACAAAACAATTGGGGCACCCTTCCATCTTGAAAGCTGCCATGGTCTGCTTTGTAAACAGTTTCCTGCTCAGGGCATAATGTCACCTTCTGAACATTATCTCATTGTAAAGCCCTTCAGGGATACTTGGTACATGAGACCTGATTGGCCGTGACATGTGGAGTGCTGCCCATGGCCATCCGCCTCATCCCTTGAGCTTTCTGTAGACTCTGTTCAACTTCGACATTAAATGATATGTCAACACATCTCCAACCAGTGCCCTGAGGGATCAGGCCTCCCAAGGGCCTTCTATATTATTCTAATGACCCCTGTAGCCATGTCCCCAGAACAGAGAAGAGCTGTTCCCAGGCCACAGATGCAGCTTTGATTGTGTTGCTGAATTGCTGGAGCAAAACAGCATCCCTTGGCTTTTCTATTTTTTTTCCAGGTAGTTATTTCATTTTTCCTGTTCAGAAAACCAGGAAGTGAGATACCCTACAAAGCAACTGTAGGAGGAAGATGCAGCCTCATAGCTGCTTGGGGTATGTTGGCCATCTAGATAGCAAATGTCCATCATAACTCAATTTATAATTATAATGATTTAGGAGGATCCTTGAATAGTGCAGAAGGATCTAATGTTGATCTGATATTCACATTATCCCCAACCCAATCTCATAAAGTCCTAGATTAGATTCATCCTCAGGAGAAAATTATTGGAACCAGAGCCAGCTCTGCTCCCAAGTACTTCTCTGAGCCCAGCCTAACCTTTATGGTATCATTGCCTGAAGTTGGCATAAATGCTTTTCACATTATGTTTTCACTCCTGATCAACTGGTTGCACTGACCATGCCCACACAATTCCCTTCAAGAGAATGCCAGCACATTAGGCAGCACATTATGGGATAGTGATCACTTGTCTGCTTGACTCCCACTATCAAATTGCCGTATGGGGGTGTGGGAAATCATACATATGATTTGGATCAAGCTGGAAAGGCTGCACAGGGCATGGACAGGTAGTATGTCTGCAGGACAGAATCTGTTGCTCACCTGAGATTTGGTTGGGATTTCCAAAGCTGGACAGGTTGTTTGAACAACTAACATGCTCGGGACATATGGAATTTGGATGGTCTGGTCAGAAGGCCACCATAGTCATACCACATGGGAATGAGGGGTGCTTTTTTCCATTCTGCTCTGATGGGCAGGAAGAGGCTTCAGTAGCTGTGCAGAAAAAGAGAAGATGGCTGCCTGGCTGCACGATGGTGGCACGTAGAAGGAAGCAATAAGAACAGCTATTTCATTCTGTCACACAGAGAGCTTGAATCTTTAACAGAGCTTTTTGATGAACCGTACACCATTAAAATAAATGAACAGTCCTCTAACAGGGCTGAGAACATCAAAATGAGGACAGCCTCACTTTGTAAGAGCAAGTGGTTGCTCTCCATGGGAAACATGCTGTCAACCTCAAAAGACTTCACTAATTAGCAACGGTTTGGTTTCAGAATTCTATGGTGTGTGGTAAACATGTGTGCGCCTTTATGCGGGTGTGACATTCAGGCATGCATTGCACAGAACCAGTGCACAGACCAGAGAGACATGGGCACTCTTGAAGTTTAATGCAGTCTAATACACAGGGGGTGCATGTGTCTGTTTGTATGAAAGAGGGAGACAGAGACAAAAAGACAGCCCTTCTAAAACTGGCGCATCTGCTAACAGGTGCTCTATATAGGGACATTACTCCCCTACAGAGCTGATCTCTGATGCCACCTAGTTCAAATTCTTTCTCACTGACATGCATAGCTCTGGTTTCCTCTTCCAGATGATCCTTATGCACAGAGACAGGAAAATGTCCCCAGTGAGCTTTCATATGGTAACTGAGTTAGTTGCCAGTGCCAAATGAAGACTCAGATTCTGTCTCTACAACAGGGATGAGGAACCTCTGGCCCACCAGGGGTTCAGATCTGGCCCATGAGACTGTTCCCCCCAAAGCATGGCCACCTGCCCCATATCTAACATCATATGCTTGTGCAATGGCCAGGGGAAGAAGGCTTTGGCTTCCTGGCTATCAGCTGATGGGTGGGCAAGCCAAAACTTGCTAGAATGGCTATGCAGGGCTGCCAATGTGATTTGTGCAGTGGCTCTTAAGCACCCAATGGCTGCTGGTGTTTGGGAGCTGAGGCACAAACAATTCTGCTGGGTGGGTGGGACAACCCATTGGTCAATCATCAGTCAAAGCTGGCCAATGGGGTGAGGGTGCACTCCAGGTAATGATCTGGCTCACAGAACCATTAAGGTTCCTCAACCCTGATCTACAGTATAACTTGAGCTGAAATATTAGACGCCCGCTCAACAGTAACTCAAGAGTGGGGTAGTAGTGTGGCTGTTCTCAGTGCCGGATTTACATATAAGCTAAACAAGCTATAGCTTAGGGCCCCACTCTCTTGGGGGGGCCCCAACAAATTTAAAGGAAAAAAACTGGATGAACATTTCCAAAATATAAGATAAAAAAACAAATAAAACCTACATACAGCAACAGTGGCAAATAGTATTAGATACCTATTAGGTCCATAAATTACCACATAGCACAGGCTTCCTCAACCTTGGCCCTCCAGATGTTTTGAGACTACAATTCCCATCATCTCTGACCACTGGTCCTGCTAGCCAGGGATCATTGTAGTTGTAGGCCAAAACCATCTGGAGGGCTGAGGTTGAGGAAGCCTGATATAGCATATATTCAACACAAAAAACAGTGACAATTTGTTGTGGACAAAGGACAGCTGGACATACAAAGAGCCCCATTACCTTCAGTAGCTTAGGGCCTCATCAAACCTAAATCTGGCCCTGACTGTTCTGAGGAACAGCATCCCTGTTGAGATATGACAGGCACCTGGTATTTGTACTTTCTGGAAACAACTGAAGACATTTTTGTTTCAACAAGCTTTTTTGCACCTGCTTTAATCCTCTCGCACTTAGGGATCCCGGTGGGAGCTGATATTCTTTTCTGCTCCTGTTTATGTATACCCATCCTTTCAAGCTGGCATTTGTTACTGGTTAATTCCTCCTCATGAAGCTAAGTGTAAACATCCAGAGGGGAGGCAGGCACATGTTAACTGAGCCATCTATCAGCAAGGCCACAAAAGAGGGAGCTGTCCCTGTCTCTGATTTATGCCTTGTGGTCAGGGGGGAGTGGAGGAGGAGGAGGAGGAGGAGCAGCAGGAGCAGCACACACAAGGCTCATGGGACAAAAGGCAGGCAGGTACTCGGTGCCTTTGATTTAAGGCAACAGGGCTATCAAAGGGAAATTTGCAACCCGCATCTCCCCTTGCAGAGCATTCTTAACTACAAATATCA